GAGTTGTGCATAGGAGAGAGAAATGTTGTGAACCACAAATTCTTTGCCAAAAAAGGAAAGTGAAGTTCTTTTTGGGACGGACGAAAAGGGAAAGTTGGAAGTATTTTCAGGGACGGAGGGAATATCATCCCTTTTCCGCTATGTTTTGAGTAAATATAATGCATGTTTGGCAGACATAAGTCTCTGTCTTGTAGCTTATGTACTGTTTAAAAAGTCTTTAAAAACTTTTAGTTGTGTGTTTGACATGAAAATTTTTAAGAGTTTTTCAAAAAATAAAAGACCTTTTTTGAGATGCTAGGGGAGTAGCATCTGAGAAAAGATTGTGACTTTTAGTACTCCCCCCGTTCCGTTGGAATGTTCCCGGTTTGACTTACACACATATTAAGGAAATAAACTTATCGGGAGTAAATTTTACTGTTTTGACACTGTTTCGACACTGTTTGGCACTGTTTCGACACTGTTTGACACTGTTTTGCATTGTTTGATCCTGTTTTGATGTAGGATAACTTTCCATTTAGGGAAATGAGAACTTTCCAACGGGACACCCAATTCAAAAAAGGAAAGCGGGAACATTCCAACGGGACGGAGGGAGTATTAATTTGTCCTAACAGCTTGTATACCAAACAGAACTAAATCAAACAGTCGGCTCTTTACCAAACAAATATCTCCTTTTCTTTTTAAAATCTTTTCAGTCACTAAAAGTTAACAATTATTAAAAAGCTCACAAAACTATCTTTTCAGCTAGTCGTGCCAAACATACCCATAGTTTTTTTTACACTAATAATAATCTCAACTATTGTCGTTCCGCTACTAATAATCTCAACTATCGATTATTCCTAGGTGGTCCCAACTATATGGATCATTTTCCAAAAATAGTCCCTAACCTGCTACAACCTGGTATAACAAGTCAAATTTAAATGTGAACTATGCGTAAGCTATAAATAATCCCGACTATAGTCGATCTTCTTTTATTAATCCCAATCATCAACTCTCAATTTTAAAAAAATATAATGATGTTTTTATAAATTTCCAAATTAAATATTTTTAAACATGTAAAAATAATTATGAAAATTCTACAAATGTATCGAAGTTAAACAAAAATATTTTTAGTCATTTTTAATTTAGTTTCACTAAAATTTCATGTTTTTCAAAAAAAAATTTCCTAGTTTTGTTAACAAGTTATGATTTTGTATTATTTTCCTTTATTCAAATTTACATTTTGTGTTTTTAGAAAGCATATTGTGATTAAAAAAAATTACGATTTAAATATTTATTTTAGATTTTTTCATGAAAATCAATTTTATTAAATTGTTATGCTATCTTAATTGTAAAAATAAAAATTCACTATTTTTTCAATTTTAGCATTTTTTATTTCTTTCTATTTTCTTTATTTTATGTTATTATATTCTATAAATTATATGATATAGTTTATCATTGACTTCTAGTGATTCGGGACATAGGATTTGGAGATTTTGGCTATGTTAATGAAAATGTATTAATATTGTAATTTTAAATGATATAATGGAAATTGTAAAATATGTAGAAAAAATAGCCAAAACCTCCAAAACCTATGCTCCAAATCACAAAAATTGAACGATAAACTATTTCATATAATAATATAAAAATAGAAGAAATTACAAATACTAAAATGGATAAAATAGAGAATTTAGATTTTTAGAAATAACATAGCATAAAATTTAAATAAAATATATTTTTATAAAAAAAACTAGAATAAAGCTTTCAATCATAAAAAAGTTAGTCACATCTTACTTTTTGAAAACAGAGATTGTAAAATTGAATAAAGGAAAATAATACTAAATCATAACTTGTTAACATAACTGGGAATAATAAATTGGATAAAAAAAAATAGCGAAAATAAAAAAAAATGACTAAAACTATTTTATTTAACTTCGGTACATTTGTAGAATTTTCTTAGTAATTTTTACATGTTTAAAAATATTCTATTTAAAAATTTATAAAGATATTTTTATATTTTTCTAAAATTGAGAGTTGATAATTGGGATTAATAAAAGAAGATAAACTATAGTTGGGATTATTTAGAGCTTATGAATGGTTCGCATTTAAATTCGACCTGCTATACCAGGTTGTAGTAGGTTATGGACTATTTTTGGAAAATGCTCCCTATAGTTAGGACCATCCAGGAATAATCGATAGTTGGGATTATTAATAGCGGACCGGTAATAGTTGAGATTATTATTTTCAATTTTTCCAATGATATATATGGTTGAAAATGGATTAGACGGTTAGCTCAATGGATCCAACTTCTTTTAGTAATAATATTTTTTATTTTACATAATGATTTTATAATAATAAATGTGATGGAGTTTGTATAATTTTGTTTTAATCCGTTACTCTTGATTAATTGTGTGCAAGATAAAAAACGATCCTAAATTACACAAATCAATAGATTTTCTTTTTAATTTTCTATATGAAACATTGCTTTCCTATAAAAGATCATAAAAAATAATAAATTTTGATATATTTTTTGTAATAATGGAAATACAAATAAAAAATATATACTCGTAGCACTTTAAAAACAGATACGTAGTAATTTTTAAAGTGTTGAATTATTTTTTTGATTTTATGTATTCAATATTGATGTCATACGAAAGATATTAAAAAGTTATGAATTTTGATATATTTTTTGTAACAATCAGAGTACAAATAAAAAAGTTACAGCAATTCAAAGAAAACAAGAGATTTTTAGTTTGGGTTGGACATCACATGAGAGGTTGTAAATCATGGTGACTCAACCAATACTAACGGTGGGGTGCAGCTCCTCTCCATTTCTTACTCTCCATTTTCCCTTCATTTCTTTTTTACTTCCTATCTATCTCTACCTTTTTCTCTATCCTATTCAACAATATACCCCACCTTTCATTTTCTCCTCTCTCTCTCTATCTCTCTCATAATGGAGAGATCCAAATTCCTAACGGTGGTAGATCTGATATCCGTGCGCACGAGAAGCCGAGTCCAGCACAACTTTGGCATTACATGTTGCGTACTTGCGTTGCGTTATTTTTGCTAAAGTCGTCACTTGAAGTGACAGCTCTTGTACTGTAAGAGAAGAGTCGTCACTTCGAGTGACAACTTACTTTAACCACGATTAACTCAACATTATTTTGAGAATTATTTTAATTTAGCAATATTTCGGAAATTATTTATTTAATTAGCATTATTCACGGAAAAACTCCGATCTAATAGTGTAAGATGTAATAAGGGGGTGTTTAGAACTAATTCTGCTTCTGCTTCTTTTTTAAAGCAGAAGCAGAATCAGAATAAGTTTTTAGAAGCTGGTCATCCTCAGCTTCTAAAAAAACCGATTCTAGGAGTAAATTAGAGCACAAGAATCACTTCTGAACTTTCACCCAAACACTCCAACTTCAGCTTCTGCTCCCTGAAGGAGCAGAGACAGTTTTAAAATCAGATCCAAACACCCTCTCATACTACTTATACTTAAAAAAGGTGTTACTAGAGAATGAGGATTTCATCGTCCAATCCTTGGTAGCAATTTTTTTGGGGAATTTTTCAGAAGTAGACCAAAAGTTAAAAATAATATCATTTATATCATTTTTGATTTTCTTTTCAAAAACAGCCTAGTTAAAACTTTCTTTTCACAAACGGTCTACTTCAATGGTCACCCCTACGTAATGGCGTCACAAGTGCATGAAGCACGTAACATTTCGATCATTGCAACTTCTTCTATAAATTACTCCGTAATACTTAGTACAAATTGCATGTAATTACTCATTATTAAATTTTTAAATAGAAAATTTTGTAAAATGATATTAGACGTTATGAAAGAAATTAAAAAAATAATCAAATTCCAAAAAATAATACTACGTAATAAACTTTTAAACGACCAGAAAACTCAAATTAAAAAATAATATTATATAAAAAACGAATTAAAAAAACAAAATTGAAAACTTGTAATTTATATTTTAAAAATAAAATAAAAATAATTCAAATTTAGAAGTAAATTCTGAAAATTTTAAAATATACAGAAACAGAGATAAAAATTCAAAAGCAAAATGAAAAATTTTGAATTTTGTCAAAAATGTAAGAAATTCTAAAAAATATGTAGTACATGGTACGGTTTTGTAATGCAGTTTATGAAAACAATTTATATAATTTATAATTTATATAAAAAATTAAAAAAATAAAAAAAGTCTAAATTTTGATAAAATATAGGAAAAAGTACAATATAAATATAAAAAAAGAAATTATTAGAAAACAATTCTTAAAAATCAAAAACTGTAATGCAAAAAACTAAATGATACTCAGAAAAATTTAGGAAAACTAAAAAAGGTGTGGAAAAATTTAAAATAATAGTTATACAATATTATTGTTACTCCCTCCGTCTCATTAAATTCTTCCCACTTTCCTTTTTAGGCCGTCCCAAAAAATTCTTCCCATTACCATTTTTGGACAATTTGTGTGATTCACATTCATTTCACTTTTTTCTTACACAACTACAACCACACATTTCCACTTTATTCCACTTTCTTAATCTCCGTGCCAAGTCAAAGTGATAAGAATTTTCTGGGACGGAGGTAGTATTTTTTAGACCAAATTTTTTATTGTTATTCTTTTGTTGCTCATTGTTTCATTTTGTTGATAACTCTACTTTTTTGTTTTTTATTGTTTCTTGTTGTTTCTTTGTGTTCATGTATTTGTTGGCATTTCAAAAGTCCAATTTGCGAATTTTGGTGATACACAAATATACTACGTATATGGTTTATATTTCAAATATGTAAAAAACAAACTGAATGATACTCTGAAAAAATTAGGAAAACTAAAAAAGGTGTGGAAAAAATTTAAAGTAATAGTTATACAAGATTATTGTTATTTTTTAGACCAAATTTTTTATTGTTATTCTTTTGTTGCTCATTGTTTCATTTTGTTGATAACTCTGCTTTTTTGTTTTTATTGTTTCTTGTTGTTTCTTTGTGTTTCGTGTATTTGTTGGCATTTCAAAAGTCCAATTTGCGAATTTTGCTGATACACACATATACTACGTATATGGTTTATATTTCAAATATGTAACAAAAATAAATAGAAAATGTAAACAAACAACAAATATCAGAATCTTCAACAAGAAACATAATCCAACAAAAAACAACAAGATGAAACAAAAAGCAACACATATAGTGCAACAAAAAGAAACAAAATATAATTTGCTATTATTTCAATTTGCTACATTTATCTATTATGGATCTTCACATTCTTCTTCTTCTTGTGCATCTTTACACACAACCCATCAGTTAGCATCTTTACACATCTCCATGTACTTCTTTTATGCACCTGCAATGAGAATACAATAGACAAATTTCAAATAAAGTATTACAATGAAACATTCCACCTATAGAATTTATAGGTACATTAAAATGTATCCAAACATCAAATTATATCCACAAGTAGCGGGCAACCAAATAAGCAAACAAAAAATTAAACATTATCTTCCTAGAACTCTATACAATTACCCCAACTCCCTAAAGCTTCAAACGATTTCAACTACATTTAGATTTTTAAAACCCCTAATGCCACCAATACAAATAGCAGGACCAATGTTTAAATGTAAATCTATATTTTTGGTGCCACCTAAAGAACCAACAATTAATATCATCAATGACATAAAACATTTTAAAGATCAAATATATTGATAATAACATATATGCTCATAAAAGTAAAACAACTTAATTAATTACTGGTAATCAGCAACAACACTTGTGTTTTACAGATCATGAGGCACAAACTTCTTACCTCACGTAGCCATTACACCCTTGTCATTGACAATCATTGCATTGATAATTGTTTTCTACTGGGAATTGTAGTAACAAGATAATGCCATATTAGAAGATGACATTACTTCTCAGGAGTGCACACATGTTATGACCTGGCCTTAACATGAAGCTTACCGCATGTTCTACAAAAACTCTCCTTTATGTTGTCAGCAGAGGCAGAGGAAGAGGCTTCACTGCAGAATAGATAAGTAGACAAGTATCAGTTATGTGAGAGGCCTGAATTGAGGAACTATGTGGCATCATAACGAGTCTTATGGCTAAAAGTAAAAAATAAGTGCTTATTGAAAGGTAGGAGGTAAGCTGAAATTTATCATCCAACAAATTATAAACAAATAAAAAAATCAAACACATTAATGCTCATATTAATAGACACAACCACTTTGCTTCATAGACACATCTCAGGAGTGCAAATAAACAATCAATTAATAAAACATCCAAATAAATAAATCAAATTAAATAAAATTTTGATATTAAAAGTTGTAGCAGACACAATTAGGAGTAATTGACTAATAAAAAATAAATAACTCCACATTTCATCTTCTTAAGATCAAACATTTGTCTCTTTGACTAACCACTGCTTTCAACGACACATATTCAGCTTTAATAATTGTATACCTTATCAAGTATAGACGAATTGATATGTTCCTCAATTTTGTTCACAGAGAACATCATCAAACGTCTTCCTTCAAGCATCGTACTTGAACTTTCTTATTGTCCATCCACTTCGATCGTATCTTCCGCGAAAGGTAATTAGGATCGTTGGTGGGTTAAAGCAATCATCAGATCTGGCACTAAGTATGAATTTGTGCTCTTTCTACGAGTGAGTGTCGGCCTTAGGTGATTCGTAGAAGAGAAGGAGAAGATTCAGATTGCCAAGGAACTGGAGATAGTAGCGCTCGAAACTTATTGCGGACGAAGAGAAAATATTTAGCTTATCTGAGGAAATTTGAAAAGGTGAAGAGGAATTGCAGAGATCAGATAAAGAGTGCGGCGACAAGAGTTTAGGGTTAGGCTACTTTTGAAATTAAAAAGATAAAAGTGATTAAGTAAAAGTTTAGAATTGAAAGAAAAAAAGTGGGGCAACATAAATGAAACTCAATGGCTTAAAGTGGTTTAAATGGGTAATTTACACATTTTGTTGTTGTTGTAGGAAATCACAGTCCAATTCTTGATACTCTGGGATGGCGAGTCGAATGAGCCCATGATATGAACTTGGCTACGACGTTACCAACTTTCTGGGCCTGAATCTCAAAGGTTAAAAGGCACCATTTCTTTCAGAGTCCACCGGAGGTTTCAGAGATGAAGTTCACAGACTCGCCGGTGATCGACCTTCCGGTGATGGATAAAAAACTCTCTGTCCAGCAAGACAACGGCTCGATGCATGTGGGCACCAGCGTCTGGCCATGCTCACTCGTCGTCGTTAAGTTTGCCGAGCGCTGGCACCCGTCGGCATACGCTGCCGCTGACAACCCCTACTCCGATCTCCTCGACTTCAGAAACAAGAGCGGCGTCGAACTCGGAGCTGGCTGCGGAATCGCCGCTATGGGCCTATTCTTATTGGGCCTCAACGACGTCGTCCTCACCGACATCTCCCCCGTCATGCCGGCTCTAAAGCACAACCTGAAGCGAAACAAGCAAGTTTTGAACAAATTGCTGAAAACGGCTGTTTTGTATTGGAACAAGCAGGAGCAGATTAGCGCCTTAGGAAAGCTCTTCGACTTTGTCATCGCCACTGACGTGGTTTACCTGGAGGAAACGGTGGCCCCTCTAATCTCCGCCGTGGAATCCCTTCTCAAGGAAGACGGCGTCGTTTTGCTTGGCTACCAGCTTAGATCTCCCGAGGCACATAAAATGTTCTGGGAGCTCTGCCCGGAGGTTTTCGATATCCAGAAAGTTCCACACGAGCACTTGCATCCAGAGTATGCTTACGAGGAGACCGACGTATATATACTCCGGAAGAAGAAACCATCATCTTGAGGGTCAACTTTTTATTTCAGGCGAGCTTCCTGTTTTTTTCTCAATTCAATTTTCAAGTGAGAAGTTTTCAAATTTCAATCTTTCTTGTCGCTTTAGCTTTCTGCTATTTGTTAATAGACTCAGTTTGAAATTATTGCCATGGTGTGGTTGGTTAGCTACCACTGCCTATTGTATTAAGAAATGTATCTTTACTTATATCCTTATCCATGCTTGAAGGAAAAACTTTGACTAATTCAAAGATTTTTGAGAATTTTATGTGAAATTAAGGTTTAGATAACATGTAATTAAAGGTAGTCGAGATATATTCCATCTGTAAATTTACATTACACATGGATTTAGTTACCTATGAACTACTTCGTTTCGTATTACTAGACTACGCCAAACATTTCACTTGTTCTGTAAAAGATAAGTCTCTGGGGAATTTTTTGAAATACGTGATGGGAAGTGGTGGGACCCTTCCCCAGACCCTCGCCTTACGGGGATACCTTCGTTCACCGGGCTGCCCTTGTTTTCAAGTGATGGGAACTAGTAACACAGAAGAGGAGTGATTTTTAAACCAGTCTTCATTCTTCAACACTGATTATACTAGAGCTTCGCCCTGGGTGCAATGTATGATTGTTGTTATAGCAATATGACATCGAGAATTATGTAAGGACTACTCATCGTCTTATTGAGCTTATTATCCGAGTTCTGATTGTGTTTTTATGGCCGATTTTCAATGCAGAAGTAGGGAAAATATCGATTGCCCTGCAGACTGTCCAACATAATGAACAGATCGTCTAAACTGATAATGAAGCATAACAGTTTCATATCTGAAAAGGTCCTTGTCTTCTTATTTTATAGACCAAACACCATATTTTAAGTTGCTTTGTATTGCTATTCTGGTTCATCACTTCATTGTTGTACCTCTTTTTTCAAACTCAACTCTGAGTTTTCTAATGAAGGTGCATGCAACATATTCTGTAAGATATTAAATCTGCAAGATTTTTTAAACTTGATCATTTAAACTTGTCTTTGGTGTTTCCAAGTTTTCCTGCTCACCTCTATGCATGGACCTGGTCCACAGTCCCGGACCGAACCTGTTTCTTCTGGTTTGGGTTGAAGACTGGTGCCGGACCTGCCCCCACCGGCCCTGGTCCTGGTTTGGGATTTTAGGAACCAGACTGGCCGGTCCGGTTCAGGTTCTGTCTTTTTTTTGCATTTCAACACTTTGGCACTGTTTTTTCATCAGTACTTAATGGTAGTAGAGTAGATTGATAGAACGTTGTTTAACGAATAAGGAAAGGGGACTCTATTTAGGGGCATCCATAAAAGGAAAATGAGAGTGAAAAATGCAAGTGAAGCAATGGAGTACTAATATGAGGGAGTTGACCCGCCCCTACCCCAGTTATTACTTCTGTTAGAACTGTTTTTTTATCGTTGGATTCTTTTACTCATAGCAGTAACTGAAACCTAATAGTGCTGGTTATGCGCGAGAGGCCGAGATCCGCCATTTGCAGTTCTAACTTCATATTTATAGGCTCTAGTGCCAAACTCTAACAGTCTCCATTCTCCACCATTCTTTCAACACTAACAAATGATCCCAAACTGAACCTTTTATACCTGTCTCCAACCATGAGATCTCATCCATACATGGTGTGATGCCCATTCCTACTATGGGTGCTTCTCCCAAGAATGGAAGCTAGTGTACTAACAAAAGGAACACATTAGAACAAAATAAAACCGTATAACACTTCAGATTTTATTAAATGGAGTATCTTTATATTTTTACAATTGAATTCAATCACTTACAATAACTTTCCTAGTGAATTGATCATATCCTGATCAGTGTACATTGTATTTGTATTACATCTGCATTACTGTATAAAGAAATTTGAGACATGCGATAATTAATCAGGTTATACTCTATTAGGATTAGGGTGAGCTCTAACCTCCAACATTAGAAGCTAAATCTGTTGTGCCCTTACTCTTAACTCTATCCCAGCTAGCTTATAACCCCAGTAAGTAAATATATTCAAGCTATGTTAACTTAGCTTGAAGACCAAATCATCTGCATATACTTTTGTTACAAAAAAAAAAAAGAGAATCAGAGAGTATGTATGTGTTGTTACTTGTTAAATATACAATCATCATATCATTTGGGTAAAGTAGTTTGAATTGAACCTGCTATCAAATTGATCTTCTTAGGCTGTTTTGTTATCAGGGAATAAAAGGAGTGTCATGGATATTAAAACTTGGTAGGAGTCTAGCAGTTGTGTGATCATGGTTATATTGACCAAATGATATAAGAGTTGGATTGAATGATTCCACCATTGTTGCCTCCCTAAAATTAGAGCCATTTCGTCCGGCAGCTTCGTGGCCCTCATTAGCCATGCCCAGAGGTAGAAGAGAATCCTTACTGATGGAACCACTACATTGCCTAGGTTGTGTTTGGTAGAAAATCTTTGATGCAACAAGCTCTCCTTCTTTCTCATCTTCGTCATCTCCTAGGTGGTATTGATGCATCACCCAATTGGTTTTCTCGGGTTTTCGTTGCTTTCCATAATTTGTATACAACACCAATATTTTCTTGTACCCTTTCATCCTGCCTTTCACCAATACTGGTCTAGTCTTACCGGTTTTGTGCCACCGTGTTTCACTCCCATCGGCCTCTGTCTGCACTTTTCTTCTCTTTCTCGTGCCAGTAGTATAAGCCTTGGATGGTCTATGGAAAAAGTGCCGAACTAAACCATCTTTGGTGACTCCTGTATTATTTAGGTTTTTTATCAATAAACCTTATAAGTTATAACCAGTCTTCTTATGTATATTCAGCTGGAAAATTTAAGTGGCGCGATTATGTAGCTCTATAATTTATTTGACAGAATCATGGACAAACATTTTTATAATAGTAAACTCATAATGAAAATGCATGGCATGTTATTCACATAAGTCATTGAGTTCCATAAGAGATCTAGTCGCTTTACTCAACCAGTCATGTGTTTAGTGACAGGCAGATAGTCCAGTCACCAGTGCATTATTTGCATCAATTGCCAAAAAAGGTGTTTATAAATTTGAATACATTTTTTTTTTTGTATATACGACAAACAAAGGTTTTTATCAAACTTTAGTTACAGACTGGAATGTTGAAGAATGTGTTTTATTGAGGTTGTATACACAGTAAATGCATGTGTAAATGTGTAATCTAACTAAATAATCGATGAACTCACTTTTAATGGAGACAGAATGCAGCTTTCATTGTGACATAAAAAAGGTGGCGCTGATAGTCTGATACTAAAGAGTAAAGATGCTTGGGCAGGCATCTAGTGAATTAATTGCTACTAGATGAGATTATATTTTTTTTGGATCATCAATCTTATGAACATTTTTTAACTAATTAACACTAATTTTTTTTGTTAAAACTAAAACAGATTAATTGAATTTACTTTTTTTTTATTTAATTTGTTAAACAACATAATTTTTACTTTTTTTCATATTTTTTTATTTATAAAATATTTGGTATGTTTTAAACATATTATTTTTTAATTCACCATATTAAATCAATTAACCCCTTTCAAGGACAACTTTAGCAATTCAGCGACCATAGGGGGCTCTACATAGCAACCACTATTGTGATTTCCTAACTAAAGTCTATTGAAAATGGTTCGTTACCCACAACTATGTAATACGCTATGGAAACTAATTTACTAATATGTACGTTTATGTACGCCTCAAATAAAAGTTTTATAGGACGGCTTAAAAACTGAGACGCAAATAAAAATCTAATTCACATTTGAAATGTAAAGTTATTGAAATGAATTAAAAGTAATGATGGCAAATTAAATATTAGTGTTGTCTCCAAATTAATGTTCTTTGCGACAATGCTAGATAGCTAAAATATGCAATAATGCAACTTAAGCTCTAATTTTTTAAAATAGTTTGAGCATATAACAAATTTAATACTCAGTATGTTAATGAATAAAGTTATGTGTTGTTAAAAGTGAAAGCTAAGTGCTTTAGATGCAACTAAATAAGAATGAAAAAAGTATAAAATAAGTTGTTCATGCATATTGATCTTAATTATATACTAGTATTGATGTAATGTTTTATTATTGCTGGTTTGAGAGAAATACTTTTAACATGTTCCTTCACTCCAATCTAGTCTTTACAACTTGAGGATTAATATATATATATATATATATATATATGCATATATGCATCAACAATCAACATCCTAAAGGAACTATCTTAATTTAATTACGGGTAAAAACTACAATTTGTGTAATGATGTAAATCATTCAATAAAATAATGTTGAAGCAATGACAAAATGAATATTATTAGAAGAAGAGTGCAAAAGAATGATGGAGTGATTAAATGACCTGGCAATTTAACTGGATGGGTGCAACAAATTCCATCTTCACCATCAAGAGTATGGATGAACTCGTCAATGAGAGGGTGAGCATCCAACCTCACCTTAGCCTCCAAATGTTCAAGAATCTCTTGATCGGTTGGATCAAACTTCACCCCAGCAGGCAACCCCGGTTGCAGCTGTTGAATCCCTACCGCCCGTTGTCGATGATGATTTTCCAACATGATTGGATTGCCACACGAAGGGCAAGCTGTCATTATTCCGCCGCCTCCGCCGCCTCCACCGCCACCTATAATTTCCATCTCCTCATCATCATCGTCGTCGTTACTCTTATTAGTATCATTCTTATTATTATTATCAGCTGAAGCAGTGCTGCTGCAAGTCATATTTTCGATTTCCGTGTGGCCTGCTATTTTATGTGTCTACTAAGAAAACATCACCAAATCGTACGTTCATTTTGCCTCTACGTACTACCTGACATATAAAAAAATAAACTAACATATAAAGTTTTGGGCTACTCTCGATATTACCTTCTTCTCGGGAAGCTAACTAGGAAGAGCTAGAGTGAGAAAAGGCTGCTGGAGGGTTGTATTGTATATATCATAATTGAAAGCTTATTATAAGCAGGCTCATCACGTTAGCTGAGCTGCTACCTTGTTCTTGATAGTTGGGAAGGTATTGAATTCCTCCTCCTTTATTTTGTTGGCCCCGACATCGTACGTACTTTTGGCCCTTCCATCAATCCAACGCATCCCCGATTATTATAGAATAAGAGTCAGTAATCGTCATTAAACCCATAGGTTCCGTAATATAATGATTAAATGCAGATTCTATGTATGGGGTCAAAGTGAAACATAGATTAGTTAATAAGTACTGTTCAAGGAAGGAAATTAATTAAAGGGGAAGTTAGGGTTGGTTGCTTGACAGTTACGTTTCCCTTGAGCTAAGTTACTCTATATGTGTTGATAGGAATGATTGCTTCGTGGAGAATAAATTAATGAAATGTAGTTAGATGTCTTTTTACACACCAGCAGGTAGCCATCTAAAGGTTATGAAGAATCCTCATCCATGTAGCTGGTGAAATGCATAAATGATACCTTAATTATTTGTATTGTTGTGTTTTGGTAACTTAACTCTTAAATGAATCAAATTAGTACCATAACTACATACTTCCTCCGTCCCATAAAATAGTTCCTGCATTGACTTGGATCAGAGTTTAAGAAAGTGAGAATAAAGTGGAAATGTATGGTTGTGATTATGTAAGAAAAGAGTAAATGAATGTGAGTTATACAAAATTTTCTAAAAAGAGAAATGAGAACTATTTATTGGGACAACTCAAAAAGGAACCCGAAAACTATTTTGCAGGACGAGGGAGTATATATAAATGTTTCAACTAAAACCCAACAATACCAATACTTAAGATCATTTATGCATTTCACCTCCACATAGCTCTCTCTATATGATATGATAATTAAATAAGTGGGAAATTTACCTAAATTAAACGTTATTAAAACATTCATAATTTTCTAGTATATGACTCGCAAACTTACTTAAACATGACTCTATATAATGAAAAATTAAATTTAAGAGAAAAGAAGTGGGGTCTAAATACATAATATACATATAAACACCATTAATTTAAGAAGAAAAAGTATCTACTTATATTTTAGGAATCATAGCCTTTTTTAGTCGTACCCTTAATAATTCTTCCAAGTAAATTAAATTTATGTTACAACGTCTGGGGTTGGTTGGTCGATAGGCCAGGCCATACAATGGATTAATTAATGTAACATTATATTATACGGAATCAATTGTTTGAGTGTGGATGGGGGAACCTGCTTCTATACCTCTTGCATGACATCATCAATTCAACCTTTATTAGTTTATCCCTCACCCATTACGCACCTTTAATGTCTATAACTCCCCCATATGGAAATTAAGGGTAGAGAGTTCAGTTTAGGGCTCGGTTTTGATCGGTGTCGGTTCAAGATCAATTTATTTTGAGAGTATCAAACTAAAATCATTTGTGTTTTAGTTTGGTTTGATTTACCAAAGTAAAAATTATTAAGTTCAATTTAGTTAGATTTGATCCGGTTTCATATGTCTATTATTTATTTGATCAAGTTCTATATTTTAGAATTACAAAAAGACAGTAGTAGTCCGTCACATTTTCTTATATTTATTATTGATGAAGTTTAATCCAACTACGAGAGCAGATGAAATTTAGGCAGCGTAAGACAGTATTATTGATCTGGAATCCAGTCTCTTCATAGGACGAGTACATGAAGTATTTATAGAGCTTAGCTAGGGGCTAGTATTCTAAGAGGAAACTAATACATTAAATGCTACTTCGTATTAATTACATAAGAGTCCGATAACGTCTTGGCCGTTGTGCAATGATCGCTTCCTCTAGGTCCACGTTTCTTCCGTTATTCCCGACTGCCCCCAGATGGCTATGCACGAATGGTAGCCTGCCACATAAGCCTTAGGAAGAGTCCGACCTCACTAGAACTCCGCTCAGGATCGAGGTCTGCTGTCCAGCCTGACCTGGTTGTGGGTTTCTTTCGCAGGTGGGATTCCTAGTTAGGCCTAGCGACTAATTAACTTTAATCCCGCTAAGGGCTGATCCCGTTTATGGGCTTAATCCCGTTAAGGACTGATCATGTTTAAAGGCTAATCCCGTTTATGGGCTTAATCCTGTTAAGGGTTGATCATGTTTAAAGGCTAATCCCGTTTCTGGACTTTTACTATAATTTCGTATTTGGGCCATGGCTGCAGTCCATGGTACCATCACGAGCCCCCTACTCTCTAAATTCAATCGGGTTGTATTTTAGAAGAGTAGAAAGTTTTTGAATTTCAAATTTCTCTTTGCGACACCGTTTCTCATTCAATGCGAGTAACACGTGCCTGTCTTCACAACTTCTCATTTTGTCATCTCATCTTCAGCACTCGAGTGCCTCAGTAGCGGTTCCAGAGTGGTTCGAAACATTGGGGATCCCACTATAAAGGTACTCACTCATTCTTTTTCGTTCGAACTTTCTGATAACTTGCGTTCCTCGAACCCTAGGCAAGAAAGCTTCCCTTCCCGCTTCACTCCATTTCCCAGATCAGGTCATCAATGTCTTCCTTTAGTTCCATTCCCCTTCTTAATGTCTTCCTCGACGATGGGGCCAATTCCAACCGGCTTAGAATCCCGGTGGATTCAGATGGGAGGAAGACTCATTTTTATCTTCCCACCGATTTCGCTCGCGTGATTCCGGTCGTCGCCATTTCCGATGCCGAGTTTAACACGGCGGCGGCCCTGGCTTGGCCCAACGTCGTCTGCACTCGTCCTACCCCCGGTCAGAGCATCGTAGATTCCCTTCTCCCCTTCATTTTGGGATCCACCTGTCTAGCCTCGAAATGGGCCTGTGATTTCCAATTCACCCTACCCTTCTGAATATCATGGTCCACTATGGGGTTATCCCCGGCCAACTTACTCCCACCACACATTTATTCATCGTCGGGTTTATAGCCCGATGTCTCTTTCTCCAAATCAGGCCAAAAATATCCTTGCAAAATGGATTTTCTACTTAGAGTAAACGCACCTTGATGTGATGAGCAGATCCCTGCATACAATTCTTTTATCACTTGCAGAGCTTGTTTTGGCCTTAGACATTTGAGGAGCACACCACTGTAACTTCTTTTGTAGAGTTTGCCATCTTGAATGACGTAGTTCAAAGCCCATCTCGTGATCATCCTTATCTTTCCCTCGTTTGTGGTCAGTGTTCCATCTTCCTTATATTGCATTGTCATCAACCCAACATTTAGGAGCATGATTGATTGACAAAACCTCTTGGTCTTTGGTAACTTCAATGCTTGGTGACGAGCACTTTGTCATGGTATATATGCACTCAAAATAAATATCAATACAACGATTATACGTAGTATAACGGAGTAAGGTTTGTATCCATGGGGAAAGGAATATTTTTCTTTTGTGTACTAGTAACAAAGGGGGTTTTATGACTGTTCTTGAATTTAAATACTAAGATGAACGACTTATGTGTTTTACTTAAATGAGATGAAGACTTGGTTTTGCTTTTATCCACTTAATGAAATGTTCGTCGATCCCGGTTATATCTTTAACTATCTTCCTCTCGAATACTCAATCGAGGAGTATCTCCAATTCATCGAGGGTGGTTATTAATAATGAGATGTGTTCATTAATAAAACTTACTACCGAGTCAATATAGAACACAACGGTATATTAACCCGATAGTAGCAATAAACTTAAGATGAAAACGATTGAGATTGATAACCTCAACACAAGCGGTTTATTGGTTTAATCAATATACTTAATTCCCCTTAGATTATTAACCATGAGACGCATGCATTAATAATCCAAGTTTACTACCGTGAAAAGACCGAACGATTAACAAGCGTATTCGTCGATCGATTCTAGTAATAATTAATATATGAAACAAAACTAGATAATCCTTTAAGTAATGTTCAAAATATTAATACTACTATAATTAATGTTGAGATGTTAACTAATTGTCATCTTAGCAACATTCCCCAACATTAATATAGAGATAGATTAAATTAATATTCAAGGAAGAAGATTAAAGAAAATATCTCACAACTTACAATCCATTAAGCTTCATGATGGATAGTGTACCCGGGGGGTAGCTTATCCGGGGGGTTATTGCGGGGAATAACAAGAGAGAAGTCAGAGCAAGTAAATATAGAGAGAGAAAGTATATTATAAGCGTGGAGCGTTTTCAGCGTGTTATGACTTGGTTACAAATGGGGAAATGAAGTGCTATTTATAGTAGCAATAAATGCCGGACAGGGACACGTGTCAAGCGCCCATTGGCCGAGAGGTCACCTCAACTGGTTGGCGCTGGCAGCCGCATGTGGCCGCATTTAATGCGACTGTTGGATGGGACGTTGTACAGGGTACGGTGATCTGTACGCATGTGGCGCGGATATTATGTCGGGAGAGGTGCCCTCGGCTGCAGAGGACTGGCCGAGGGCTCTGAGTGCCGGGTACCCCCTGGGTGCCGAGGGCTCCAGGTGCCGAGGGCTACTGTTTTCTGCCATTTTTCTCCCAGTTTCTTAATTTGCTTGAAAACCCATTCTGTGAGAGTTTTGAGCCTTCGGCCAGGGGGCCGAAGGCTCCCCAGTGTGCGCTGTGGGCTGCTAAGTGCTTGGGGCACCGTAATTTGGGGCCTGCTGTGCTTCCTGGGCCGATTGGGCCTTTATTGGTGTAGTAGGAGTCTGTGGGCCGGGGGTTCCCAGGCCATATACTCCATCAGGAGTCCCTCACTCCTTTTGCCGAAAGGTAATTGAGGGAAAAGAAGTAATTTGTACTTGCCCTTTGATGTTGTCCCGTTGTAATCTCTGAAGTTGGTGAGGAGTCGTTGCTTTCATGTCCCTGCCGAAGGCAGTCCCTCAGTTACCCACATGTCGGGACTTGAGGGATTGCTTTGCCGTTTGTTGGAATTTTTCACCATTTTGTAATTTTATGATTTTCCCGAGGGGGTCCTCCAGTCCCCCACTCCTTGAGACACTTGTAAAGTGGTGAAAAGGAGTAGAGTAGTTGTGCTGCTGTTGTGGGCCGAAGGCTGACGCTTTTCGTTTCATTTTGGGGGGATGCCTCGTTAAAAACCTCATTAGGAAAAACCCTGGGGGAAAAAATCCTAATGAGGGAAAAAGAGTGCATCGAATTCCCCCAACGATGA